CTATATGAAGACGGGCCATACAGTATGGTAGGAGGAGAATTTTGCCTGGGCAGCGGCACTATGGCCTACTCTTATACCGAATTCCAACTGCCAAGAGATCTTTTACGTGCACGCCAATGTAAACGGTTTTTTGTCCCATCCGGACGACTAGACAGTCAGCTGTCCTTGTCACGCCCTCCGTCCTGCATCACTGACAAGGGGGAACCACGCCGGAAAACCCCAATAAACTTTCTCGACCAGTGCAGGGATCGAACACTCGACCTCCAGGCTAGCGAGCCAGCGTCTTACCCACTTAGCTACCGTGGCTCCCCCATTTCATATGAGCACAACACCAAGATTACTGTAATATAACAAACCATGTCAGGGTGGGTGCGTTATATCATTGTCAAGGTGGGTGAGCAATCCGATTGGGTGGGTGCATTATGTCATTATCAGGGTGGGTATAGTATTATTTTTAGGGTTCGTTACGGGTGTGCATTTACATGTAATCATGATTCGTGTAGCACCATGGGTCTTCTGTCAGACGTGGAGAGCGGGTGTTGAGCAAACCGGTCGCCCCATCCTATGTACGACCCATTCATCTTTTCTAACTACATATTTTAGAGTCTATCTCTAACTGTCTTTGCTTCTGCTTCACGTTGTGTATTTACTTCTTACTGTTTTCTTAAAGATACATTATGGGAGATAAGATAACGAGATGGCAGTTCTCGCTATAATAGTTAAAAACTAGATAGTGTAAAGGTAATTTGCTGAAAAATTTCAATCAAATTGATCCACCATGAGCCTAAAAAGAAGCTCATGAAATTTTGGCATAGTCTCGGTCATCATTACTAAAATCATTAATATAAACAGCAAGTCTCGATAATCCGCTTTTCTTGATTTAATTATCAACGGCCGTTAGCGACATATAGGAATTTAATCCAGCCAACATCGAAGGCTAGCCTTGACATCGAGAGTTTATTATGGTCTGGATAAGTTAATTAATGTCTAATTGATAATTTAGATAACATTTCAGGCCTAAAGAAAGACTTGTAATAAGCAGATTTTGCTCTTGCATAATGCATGTTTAAGACGTTTGTCTTACCAGGAATAACAATGCAACAGTTCGCTTTTACATTCTATTATGGTACAATGCATAATAGAATAAAGTCATTCTCATACACTAGCCGGACTAGCTGGTCGAGTCTGCTGATAGAAACTGCTACATCTTTTCCCTTCCTGAATCTGTATGTTGTCCGACTATCGCCCCCCCTCCCCCCCAATATGATAGTTTTGTAGCTTTGGGCTTTGGACGTTTAATTATCTAATTGGTCAAATATGATGTAAATAATTACAGAGATTGGTCAAACTAAACCAAATGAAGCAATAGGTAAATTTCCAGTCACATGTTGTTTGACACAATCTATCCTTGAACTTAGACCCCCTTTCTTGTTATTCTCACACTATTCATAAACAATTAATTTGCGTTTTAAATGAACTCATATCATAGCTAATATACTGACAATAGAGAATAATTTGTTAAGATAAAAATATTGTTTAAACCATCTTATATCTCTATTCCTTGTCTATGAATTTAAAAACAATGTGGCAACGATGATATTACTACAATCGTAAAAATGACAATAATAAATATCATAGGACTAGTGAACCCGCGGACTATAGTGAGCATTCGCCACCATGTATATGAGGCGGGGCTGGATTGACCATTAAGCAACATAAGCACATGCTTAGGGCATCACGAGAAGAGGGCACCACATAATATCTGCTTCGTTATTTGACAAATTTAAAATATTTAATTTAGAAATTAAATAAGAACTTTAAAGTAGTTTTTCATTGTCTTTGTCTTTTCTTTTTTTTTGCTGTTTCATTTATTAATAAAATTATTTTCCAACTGGTATTTTTTATTAAATCGAAAAATATTTATTTATTTTATGGTTGATTTCCCCTTAATCTGACCCTCCACTGAGGCTCCATTCCACATGTCTGTATATGTTTCTAAATAATATAATGGTGTGATAATCTGCCAATCGCTAATATAATGTAATTAATGTTTCTTAAACATACATTATGCAAGAGCTAAATCTGCCAATTGCAGGTCTTTCTTTAAGCCTGAAATGTTTTCTAAATTATTAATTAGAAATTAATTAACTTATCCAGGCCATAATTAACTCTCGATGGTATCGGATTTCACCGATATTAAATAGATTAGAACAGTTCAGCCATATTTCGGTTTAAGCTAAAAATGGTGGAGCGAGACTTAGCTTAGAACAACCAGTACAGTGGTTGAAATTATTGCCCACGTCTTGTCAAACCTTCAAAGGCTAATATCTTCGCTCGTAATAGAGTAATTTGAATGAAATTTTCAAATTATTCATTTCGAACTATTATAGCAAGAATGGCTAGCTCTATATCTAAATCTTACATAATGTATCTTTAAATTAACCACTTTAAGATCAACTGGCTAGTAAGTCGTTAACCCGTCACCACTTTTCAAGCCGTTACTCTCATCTATTTTTGTTGATTTATTTTATTGTTTATCCCTTTATGCATTATTCATCTCAAAACTGACACAGTTATATGGGACAACAATCACTGGTTTATTATACACAAGCACATCGTTTTTGCTTGATAACGATAAGAGAATACTTATCGAAACGTTGTGCTTGTGTATAATAAACCAGTGATTGTTGTCCCAAATAACTGTGTCAGTTTTGTTATGTTTCCAATTGCTAAATGCCACTAAAGGATTACATTATTCATCTATCGGCATGTCAGTTTTAATTACAACATTTACTTTTATCCTTTTATCTGATTTTCCTTAAATATAACAAAATTTGTACATTGCTGGCAGTCACTAGTTAGGACACCTTTAAGTGCAGTAACTGGCCTGTCAGTACTGTATGACGATATACTGTATGTATACTTATGTTCCGATATATTAAAGAATTGAAGAATCACTCGAATCATTTATATCCGAAGAGAGAATTTACACCTCTAAAATACTTACGAATAAATATACTCGAACAGTATTATATAGAATTGCTCATTACATCGAGGAAAAGCTAAAATAAAGGGGTTTCATAAATATTTTAGCAAATTTAACAATCTCTGCAACAAAACCTACTAGTATATCGATTTTAAAATATCGAATTCCAACTGCCAAGGGATCTTTTACGTGCACGCCAATATGTACACGGGACCTCGGTTTTTCGTCCCATCTGAACGACTAGACAACTGTTCTTCTCAGGCCCTCTGTCCTGCATCACTGACAAGGGGAAACCACGCAGGAAAATCTGGACGAACTTTCTCGGCCAATGCAGGGATCGAACACCCGACCTCCAGGCTAGCGAGCCAGCGTCTTACCCACTTAGCCACGTGATCCCCAATATATCGATTTTAAATTTCACAAATAAAAGCTTTTCACTTCGTTGGCAAATAACTGGAAATACCTATATTTTTATATGTTAGAACTACACCCAGGGCTCTCATGTAGGGAGAGGCTGAGGTGTGGCGGGGCATATGCCCGGGGGTGACACTTCTCGGGGGCGGCAAATTATCTAAGTGCATACCAGAAATATTTAAAGGGGGGGGGGGCAAATCACCGACCTTCGCTTCCGCTATATAAACCTATGCAAACCAGTTCATATTTCAGCAAATAGAGAGGGTAGAATTATGATTTCTCCAAGATATATTATGGGATTTTTCGATCAAATGAAGAGTTGAAGGGGAAATAAACATAAAGATTTTACATACAATTTGATTTAATAAATAGTTTACATTTTTAAAATTCCTTTAATCATAAAAATCCACCGAGCGCAGGCACTATATAAACATAGCAGTTGCAGTATGCATGGTGGGTGGGGCGTCACATAGGCTTGTGAGGGCCCTGGCTACACCCCTCCCCCTAGTGGTACCCGCCCTTTCTACTGTTCTTGCAAAAAATAGATGTTTTAAATATCCGGATTGTACAAACTCTCCGTTTCAAATAACTGTAATTTCTATATTTTAGAACGTCCCCACCCCACCCCAACCCTAGAGCCCTAGAGGTACCCGCCCCTTCTACTTTTCTTCAAAAGAATAAATGTTTTAAATATCCGGATTTTACAAACTTAGTTACCCCAACCCCCCCCCCCCCCACCCCATGCTCCAAAATTTACAACCAATCGACAGTGTTCCGTTTTAACATTTTAACATTTATTTAGTTTCGATATAGATACTAAACACAAGATAATTACTAATATATTGATAATGTCGGTCAACATCTATTGAGAACTTCGCAGGTAAGTCGCACCTTAATTTCACTTAATTGAATCCGGGTTAACATGCGCAATACAGTCCAATCGATACGCATGACGTCATTATGTAAACAAAAACAGCTGAGAGGGGGGAATTTCCACGGTAAGAAACTATATTTGGCGCAAACTACGTATCACGTGACAACAATGCCCACGTGTCTGGAAAATATATAATCAATAATATGTTTCAGTTTTAGACGATCCAACCCCCCCCCCCCCCCTATTTATAAACTAAATCATAAGATAGGGGTGGTGTGATGTGTAGGATAGAATTTGAACACAAACAATACCGCACAAAGTATTCTTCAGAATGTTATGGCTATATTTTATAAGCAATTTAAAGGTGTCATGATGAACAGTCTAATTTTACATATTATATCAAAAAACATTTAAAGGTAAATGTTTCTCGCATATACAGATTTAAAACTTGTGTGAATAATCATATCAGAGACACTATCCACGTTTTACAGCTTTTCCGATTCTTTTGTTTATATCCGCATTTAACATATTGATTAAACGAGAGCGCGTGCTGTGACGTCATTCAACGTAGCAGATCTAGCCGGTTTTACTGCTTCGCAACGACCTTGAACTGACAGACCCTTAGGCGGCTTTCCAGTACGAATCCATCACATGGGAAATTTTCCTTTGGCTGTCAGAAATACGTAATTTTTTTTTCTCTTGGAAAACTACAGCTTGCTTCTCGAGCATATATAACCCTGAGCGAACCGATGTCTGTCTCACTCTTATCGATGGAAAGAGAAATTACTTTTACTCTCGAAAAAGTATCTAAAGCCGGTTCCGTGGACACTAATTATCAAAAATGGAAACAGAACGATTTGCAAACATTTCAATTACCGGTAAGAAAATTAATTATCTTAATTGCCAGTTTAAACAAATATATTTCTTTTTTTTTTTTTTTTTGTTATTTATATATTTATTTATTTATTTATATATATATATATATATATATATATATTATTTCAAATAGTGATTTATTCATGATTGCTTATTTTTGTATTTAAAACGGCTAGGCCTATACATCTTTGCCCGTTCCATTATATTTTAATTGGTGTTTGGTTTGCGATGTGTATGTCCGTCTACAATTAAAATTTAGGACTGCATTAATTTCAAATTTTTAAATTTTCGATATTTTACGCAAAGCGACCATGATGCTTAGCGTAATACTATCTATAGCTTACTTGAACTGTGGCTGGGGGTACACCGTTGAGACCAATGTCAAGTGCCTGAAATATTATGACATTGTCTTGGAAATTGTTAATTAAATGAATACATTAGACAATACATCACATATATTAGAGCTAGGTTGGGTGGGACGGGGGTCATTGTTCTCTGAGCATAATTTCTCTTTTTTTTCTGTCGTATTTCGTTATAAAAAAAAACACATCATGCACCAATTAATATCTTATTTAAACATTTGAATATATGGAATATAATTTCTATTCATTTACCTGTATTCCAATTACTCAAAATATTAAATGTTCTGATATTCAATTATTTTTTATTTAATTTTTTTTTTTTTTTTTTTGTAAATAAAATACCATTTTCTCTTCAAATGGCGGTGTAGTAACAAGATTCTAATAAAACAATATAACGGTAGATTATGCCGAGGACAGCTGTAAGAACACGCCCACAATAGTTAACAATCAGACAAAACCTTGCCCAACAGTAGGTCACGTTATAGAATTAGTAACAGACGGTGACCTTCTGTCCCATATTTGGCGATTGTGGAATGTTCCATAAAAAGCGGTTTATCATGGCTATAGACTTGCGCATTGAGTCTTGCAATAGGCAATGCATGGGTGTCTGGTTATTCGAAATTATAATGTGACGATTGCTTAGTCAGAGAGAGGGATAATCAGCTGATCGTGGCACGCCGGCCGGATTTCAGTATTTTTCCTACCGGCTGAGTTATTTATGTTAAACAGCTGATATCAGCGATCCTATTCGTTCAATATAAAATAATACACGTGTGATGGTGGCGTGATAGTGACAATGATACTCAAGCAAATGATAGTTGATGTGCACAGCTTGGGATTTAACTACATGAATAAAAATAAATGAATCAATTTAAAGAAATGAAATAACTGTTTTGATTACAAATTTAAAAACATTATACATGTATGCGCCAGAATAGATTTAAAAAATTTAAATTTGAAAAATTGAAAGTAGCTCATTAGAGATATTATTTATTAAGTCTTTAACTTTGAGGCCGGAAGTTATATTGGGAAGAAAGTGGGCTTAAATTAAATTCAGAAAATATTTTGAACTATAGTTTCGAATATTAAATCTGAAGTTCTCGATTTTTGATTTCATGGCAAGCGAAGAGTTAACAATCCGTACCAGCTTATTAAAGATAATATTTATTAAAGTTTAAGGCCGGAAGTTATATTAGGAAGAAAGCGAACTTAAATTAAATTCAGAGAATATTTTGAACTATAGTTTCTAATCTTAAATCTGAAGTTGTCGACTTTTGATTTCATGGCACGCGGAAGAGTTAACAATCAATATCCCATTATGCTGACATAGCAGGTTTTTTAGAGTGATGTTCGTCTGGTTATTTCATTCATCAACATTAGGCAAAATAAAAAAAAGTAGTTGGCAATCGTCCCTTATAGATACATCATAATGCTGACTCAGCATGTATTATTGTATTGTTGAAACATTGTTACTGTCTTTTAGATTAATCTCTTTAGCTCATGGTTTCAAATAAATTATTAATTATCTCCATTTTGATTTATCATTAAGCCCCCCCCCCCCCCCCCCGCCTTTATTTTTTCAAAATACACCTTTTCTTGATGAAAGACACTTTAACTGTGTCAAACATTAAAATTGAATAAAATACTTAGCGACACGTTAGTTGGATGACAAAGATTCTGGAGTCTTCCAGGTGATTTTAGTATCTTATCAGTTTGCTCATTCTAGGGGTTTAGCTTTACATAAAATTAAATTGATCATTTCAGATATGTCGGATGAATCTCAGAGAGATTTGAATGATCTGAAGCAGCGGTTAATGAAGAATGAAGTTGGTCAAACTAAGCAAAAGAACAAGTACCTCGATATCGATAGCGAATCGGAAGACAGTGCTCTTAGTTTACAGGAGTCTTCAGCATCTACTGATGATTCAGAGACTGAATGCGCCCTGGAATCAACCCAAATTCAGCTTCAACAACGTGGTAACAAGACTTGCATAGTGAATCGACGAAAAGTCAACACCAAAGCCAAGTTCCAAACCATACCAAACGGCCATGATAAATTTCTGACGGATACCTTCCAACTGATCATGAAGGAGATTGTCCAGAAGGCTGGTGACCGAAGTGAAAAAGTCGTTGATTGGAAAGCACCAGAGGAATTGAGAGCTCTGATGGACCTTGAACCCAAAGCTGTGGGAGAAAGCCACGAAAAACTACTGTCTCGACTTCAAGATATCATTAAATATAGCGTGAAGACTGGACATCCCCATTTTGTTAATCAGTTATTTTCAAGTCTGGATCCTTATGGTTTGGCTGGCCAGATCGTAACAGACGCATTGAATACTAGTCAATACACTTATGAAACAGCTCCTGTGTTCACTTTAATGGAAGAAACCGTCCTAAAGACAATGAGAGATTATATCGGTTACACAGAAGGTAATGGCATTTTCTGTCCCGGTGGCTCGATCTCAAATATCATGGCGATGAACTGTGCCAGATTTAAAATGTTCCCACAGACAAAGAAATACGGCATGTTTGGACTACCTCCACTAGTGGTATATACTTCAGAGTTGGCTCATTATTCCATAAAGAAGGCAGGCTACTTACTAGGGTTTGGTGACGACAATGTGCGATTAGTTAAGACTGATTCGGAAGGAAGAATCATCCCTGAAGATCTGGAAAAACAGATTCAAGAGACAAAAGACGAGGTAAGTTTATGAACTTTTAAGTATCCGAAGTTTATCTTAGACTAAAATGTTATTTCTCTGTACTCTAGTTGCTTGGGTTATTCCACTTTAAAGGTTTATAACAGTAAACATCGAATGGCTTTATTCGTTTTTTTAAGATACCAAATATATATTTACGTATCATTTAAAGTCCATGCTTTTGTTTTTCAGGGTTTAACCCCATTTATGGTTGTTGCAACTGCCGGTACAACTGTCTTTGGAGCTTTTGATCCAATTGAAAAGATGGCTGAAATTAGCGAGAAACATGGTTTGTGGTACCATGTTGATGGTGCATGGGGTGGTGGAGTATTGATGTCTCGACAACACAGATATCTCATGAAAGGTGTTGAGCGTGCCGATTCAGTAACATGGAATCCCCATAAGCTGTTAGGAGTTCCTCAGCAGTGTTCATGTTTCTTGACCCGTCACGTCAAGGTTCTCCAGGAGTGCCACCGAGCTGATGCCAAATATCTCTTCCAGAAAGACAAATTTTATGATACTAGCTATGATACCGGTGACAAGACCTTCCAATGTGGTCGCAAGGTTGATGTTCTCAAGTACTGGCTCATGTGGAAAGCAAAGGTGATTATATATTTATATGCTAAATTTACTTGAAATGCTTTAATTAAAAGTATGCCCGTAATTTAAAATTTATTCAGATTTTTATTATGAATGACCTTAGTTTAAGAAATACAATCGACCAAGCTTCAGAAATGGAAGCATTTGTTTAACTACTACCTTAGCCGCTGGTAAGAGATGCCGTCCGTCGAAGGTTCCATATTTTAATTCCTTATTTATTATATTTTTTCAGGGAAGTGAAGGATTTGAGCAACATATAAACCGCCTCTTTGACAATACCAAATACATGGTAGAACAATTGAACAAACGTGATGATTTCCGTATGGTTGTAGAGAAACCCGACTGCACCAACGTCTGTTTTTGGTACATTCCTCCATCCTTAAGAAACATGCCTGAGGGTCCAGAATTCTGGGATAAACTACACAAAGTTGCACCTAAAGTGAAAGAAGGAATGATTCGTGATGGAACCATGATGATTACATATCAACCCCAGAAAGATCTTAGTAACTTCTTCCGTCTTGTTCTTCAAAACTCGGCAACAACATATGAGGATATGGACTTCTTTATCAACGAGATTGAACGATTGGGCAAGGATCTTTAAATCTTGACTGTATTAAAGAACTCTTGTAAATACCGTTAGATCTAAGATCTGAACATTTTAAAGCTGCTGAAGGCGGTTAACGTGACTCCCCGTATGTTAATGCAAGTTTGATCTTGTCTCGCTAAAATCGTCAAAATATTAACAATTCTTTTTTTATTTGGTTTTTTTGACAGTACTAGATAATTCTGGGGTTTTCCCCATATGTTAATTCAAGTTTGATCTCGTCTCGCTAAAATCGTCAAAATATTAACAATTCTTTTTTTTATTTGGGGGTTTTGACAGAACTAGATAATTCTGGGGTTTTTTTTCTGTCTCTCTATAATGGTGATATATGCAAGAGTTTATTATTTAGTACTTAAGTTATTCTGGTCAACGCTTTATACGAGATCAAACATCCTTGAATTCCAAATGAATTGGAGTAGTAAATAGGGCATCTGTACTTCAATTCATAGTACATTCGAAATGTGTTATGTAGGACTATAATAATTGTGATTTATGCATCTTATATGGAAGTTTTCGGGTGTTAAATAAACCAAAGATACATACAACGGGTATGGTACTATTTTAACTAAAGCTTTCAACGAAAACAAGAGACAATTTATATACTTATGAATAATGGCAATATTGTATATTATAGTGTACATTTAATAGCATAAATCGAATTTCATATAATATCATTAATTGTATATAATATCATTCATAATCCATGTACAGACTAACAAAAAAAGGCTGGTGTCCTTTTCTCATATTTATTTGTTTGATATCTTTGTTGAAATAATAAACTTGTTTTTAATGAATATTTTGTTTGTGTTCAATGTGTTGACATGTAACTAGAATATTGTGGGGTGGGTTGGGCTGGGGAATATAAACTCGTAGTAGCAGTTACAAATCATTCCCTATTGTCAGTATATTAGCTATGGCATGGTATGAGTTTATTTAAAACGCAAATTAATTATTTACGAAATAGTGTGAGAATAACAGGAAAAGGGTCTAAGTTCAAAGATAGATTGTGTCAAACAACATGTGACTGGAAGTTTACCTATTGCATCATTTGGTTTAGTTTGACCAATCTCTGTAAGTATTTACATAATATTTGACCAATTAGATAATTGAAGGTCCAAAACCCAAAGCTACTGCGGGTAAGAAAGGATTAGGCTATTGCACTTAAGAGAACACCATTCCCACCCCACCACACCCACTTCACCACTAGAGGAAGATGAGCGAACCCGAGATTGATATAATGTATGGTAAAGACAGCCGTGGTCTAAGAAAGGCCTACGACATTGTCAAAATTCTTACACACTTTGGTCGGAGGCCCCAAAGATCTTGATGTCCTATACCTTCAACCTGTGAAACCTTTTGGTAAAGGCTTGGTGCCCCCTAGATCTTGGGTCCTACCTTTAACCTGTCAAACCTATAGGTAAATCCGACACTGAAAGCGGGATGGGGGGGGGGGTAACGTCTACCCGACACTAACTAGGTCATTTCGGGACTAACATATGGTTAAATTTTATTTCATTAATTAGCTTGCGCGTAGGGATCTTTAGCAGTGGAAGGACCCGGAGAAAACCCACGTGGTTGGATAGGCACCCTACTCCTTGTTAGGTACAAGCCGAGAATATAAACCACGCCATTTGACTGAGAGACTTTATTAATTCACGCTCACGCGTTAAACCACTACCCCCCCCCCCTTCTCTGATTAGTAAGAAAATGAAATCGTGTCTTTTGTTTGGTATCCTTGTTCTACCGCCATGGGAAGAAACAACTTTTTATACGATGTAGTAGACCAAAATTCCCGGCACCTCAAAGTGCCAGTTCAGTAATAAGCATCTCATGCATTTAAAACGAAAACAAACTTCAATTTTTTTCCGCTTACTACGCTTTAAAAGCAGTTGTCTTTCTCGCAGCCTACGGTTGCCATTACACGGGTAATACCCCATGCCGAAATATCTGCTTAAGCTTCCTCCGCGGATGGGCGGGCTGGGACACTGGCACAAAAAAACATAACACAATTTATATGGAAAACAATCATTGGTTTATATTATACACAAATGACAACGTTTTGAGAATATTTTTCGAAACGTCGTGGCTATGTGTATAAACCAGTGATTCTTTTCCATATAAATTCTGTTTCTGTTAAAATAGTAACAGTTGTGTAAAGCATTATTGTGATAAATCAGGGACGTGTTTCACGAAATTTTAACTAAGATAAAATCAAAATTTTAGTAATTTGATTGGATAATATTAGACTGATTTTAGTGCTTAGCCAATCAAAATTTGGATTTTATCTTTAGTTAAGATTTCGAGAAACAGAACCAGAATAATAACCTCAATTCACAGACATTTGATTGCTTCATGAAATGAAATGAAATGAAATGGGGTTTAACGTCCTACTGTTCTGCTCCTAACCTGGGCTAATGAAGACGGGCATACGCTATGAGGGAAATTTTGCGCTACGGCCTACTCTTATATCGAATTCCAACTGCCAAGGGATCTTTTACGTACAAGCCAATGTGTACACGGGACCTCGTTTTTCCGTCCCATCCGAACGACTAGACACCTGTCCTTTATCAGGCCCTCCGTCCTGTATCACTGACAAGGGGAAACCACGCCGGAAAATCGGTATGAACTTTCTCGGCCAATACAGGGATCGAACACCCGACCTCCAGGCTAGCGAGTCAGCGTCTTACCCACTTAGCCACGTGATCCCCTAACTGCTTCATAATTCAGCGTTTTCTTGGGGATTCACTTATTACTGTGTCATATACACGTATCCCTGGGCGTTTTAGATATTTCCTTGGTAATATATTTGATTTTGTTATTTAAAGGATATTTATGGACAAAATGTAAGAAAGACATAAGACTGGTTTTATATCTTCTCGTAATAAAGTGATTACTATTAATATTAACATAATTCGTGACACGCTTTTATCTTGAATATTTTATAAGGCAAGTGGATTATATGGTCATTTGTAAGTTTTAATACCCACCCTACTCGTGCCTGCCATTAAACCACATTTCATACATTCATTCCTTACATAACCCGTCTTTTTTTTTTAGCGAAAATGGTAAAAAAAAAGTAAGTCACATTAACCTTATTTTATTTAATTTCCCTTCCGTGACTCTGTCAAGGGCACGTATCATTTTTATTGTGCCCGCCGTTCGAAGAAAGCTGGGGACTATTAAAATGGGTTCGTCCGTCTGTCAGTCCGTCACACTTTTTGGCACACAATAACTCTCTTTCTAATTGAGCTAGAATGTTCAAACTTGGTGTAGGTATTTATTAGGTCAATGCCTTGATGGAGAACGGAGACGGGCATTTTCTGCCTAGGGTGAACAGAGATAAACAATTTGATTGGTTGATATTTTGGGACACGATATAATTTTAGTTCTAATTAAGTGAGAGTGATTATAATACTTGATGTATATTTTCTTCTCATAATTACCTTGACTGCTTTCGACAATGAACATTTTCTGCTGAGGGTAAGCAGAGGGATAAGCAATTTGATTGGTCGAGACTTTGAAACACAATAACTCTCCTTCTAATTGAGGTAGAATGTACAAAATTGGTGTAGGCGTTCGTTAGGTGAATACTTTGATGGGGGTCGAAGATGAGCATTTTCGGCTTAGGATAAGCAGAGATAAGCAATTTGATTGGTTGTTGGGCAATACTTTGGGACACGATAACTTTAGTTCTAATTAAGTGAGAGTGATGAAACTTGGTGTATAGTTTTATTACATTAGAACCTTGACTACGTTTCATAATGGGCATTTTCTGCTCAGGGTAAGACAATTTGATTGTTCGAGACTTTGGTACACAATACCTTCTAATTGAGGTAGAATGTTCAAACTTGGTATAGGCGTTCATTCGGTGAATGCCTTGCTGGAGTTCGAAGATGAGATTTTTCTGCTTATTATACAAAATAATACAATTTTTATAGAAAACAATGACTGGTTTATTACACATATAGCACGACGTCTTGACTTAGGTTCCTGTATCGTTATCTATCACAAATGCACAAACCATGATTGTTTTCCATTGTGTTGTTTATTGATTTATTGAACATACATTATGCAAGAGCTAAATCTGCCTATTGCAGGTCTTTCTTTAGACACGAAATGTTATATAAACTATTAATTAGACATTTTTTAACAAAACAAGACCATAATCGACTCTCGATGACATTTGATACTCGAGATTTTAACTAGATTAAAACGGTTCGCCATTTAAAAATTTAATTTAAAAATGGGAAAGCGAGGCTAAGTCCCGATTATACCAGTGCCCTGGTTACCACTGTGCACACATCTTGTCAAAACTATAAACAATGATAACTTGGCTGAGAATGAAGTAATTTGAATGAAATTTTAATATTTTCTTCTTTTTTTTATCATCTATTTTTGAATTATTATAGCAAGATTGACCAACTCTTTATTAAATTTTTAACTAATGTATCTTTAATAATGGAAGTTATTTTAAATTTATTAGTTCGACCGCTTTGTTTCCGAATGCGAACACAGCTACATAGAGACAAGGGTTGGGTGGCTGAATGGAACATGTGCATTTTTATTTAGCCCATTCAGTCAAGTGTCTAGTCCCTTATTTCTACTGATCCTCCGGTTTCCTACCACGACTAAAGACGCATCAAGCGGGTTTACGAAATAAAATTGTACCATGAATACTTTGCTGTCACCAGACGTTTCAATATTTGATTTGATTTTCTGGACAATTTCATATCTTGTTATTAAATAGAACTTTCTCCTTTTCATTTGTATATAACTTATTTTCTTTATGTGATTTTTGGGGGGTTGGATGGCCGAATGGTTAGCGTGTGCGCGTTGTATCATAAGGTCTGTCATTGAGTCAACTGGTGTGGTTTCGATTTCCCAGTTGTACGTGACAAGGAGTAGAGTCGCCTGATTACCTTGTGGGTTTTCTCCGGGTCCTCCGGTTTCCTCCCACTGCTAAAGACCCCTACGCGCCAGCGAATTATTGAAATAAAAATGAACCGTATGTTAGTCCCGAAATGACATAGCTTGTATCGAGTGAACGTTAAACTCTCTCCCTCTCTCTCTCTCTCTTCTCTCTCTCTCTCTCTCTCTCTCTTTATATGTTTTTGTCCTATTATTCTATAATATGTACATAGCAGATCCGTTTATTTTATTTTATATAGTCGTTGTATGAGGATAGGGGTGTTATAATATCGTTTTACATAGCAGATCAGTTTATTATATGTTATATTATATTCGTTGTATGGGAGGAGGGGTGATATAACATTGTTAACACACAAAAGAATGTATCAGATTTTAATCCCGAATGACATTAACAACTTCTCAGGTGTAGTTTAATTCGCATTCCCCTGGATTATAAAGATACAACCTTGAAACTGGATATCGTACGAGGCCCTTATTTACTTCTTTATACCCAATCAATTTGTCGGGGAAAATTTTGAGATCCAATTCAACACACCAGGAAATGTTAGCAGGGGCGGCGGGCTCGTAAAGGTGCTAGGGTAGACGAACACTCTTTCCCAACCGGTTTGTCTGTCACGTTATTACCAAATTACTCTTTTGTTGTTATTCATGTACCATAGCCAATACATGTCCCACTTCTCATCCTTTGTGTTAAACAGGGTAAACAAATCTTTACAATAATCTAAGCATAGGAAACATACACTGAGTTAAAATTTATGTATGGTATAGATTATTTCTTTAAGTCGCATTTAGTTATTGAACAGTAACACACTAACACTATTTATGTACGGTAGACTATTTCTTTAAGTCGCATTTAATTATTGAA